TTTCGTGCAGTTTACTTCCATACACCACACACCGTTGAAGGGTATTATCATTCTCAAGAAAAAAATACAGGTGCACAAACCTCATTACCCCAAATATTTTATAAATTTGACAAAATTGATTCGTCTTCGTTGACCCATTCGAAAAATTTATAACACGTCATTACTCTCTTCGAGCTACTTAAATCTGCATATGGTTTGTCCTGCCGGCGTCACATAACTCTTTCAAAATCGTCACCCCGATTGTTTAGTAAGGAAACTTCATACACTGCGTGACTACGTTTTTTTACCCAACTTTTCCCTCCATTACGAAGGTATTGCTATGTCCGAGATCAGACTCCAATCACCTCACCGTTTGCATACCATGCTTTATAATTTTTACTGGTTTGTAACCCTATAAACCAGTAGAAGCTCTTAATCATCGTAAATAAAATATGCACAGATGCTCCACTCTTTGCACGCGACAATCAAATTATGGAAATAAGCATCACACAATATCCAGTAGTGTATTATTTGTTTATAAGTTTGGAACTCCGGAGTTTAGTACATAACCCGACTAGAGGGAGTTGAGGTAAAATCGGCAGTCTGGCGAAATGTGAAATCAAGTAGAAAGTTACATGTATTAAAGATACACATATGCCACTGGTCAATTGTTTAAACTTTAGGTCACAAAGACTAAACGGTTAATTGGAATGCATTGAACAGAGAAGAGATGCTACTTCAAACTTTAATACCTATGTTATGGTTTGATCGCTAAATACTAAATATGGGACTTTTTACGTGCTTTGGTTATGGCGTGGAGTCTCATACTTAAAAACTAAACCATAATTTTTTCAGAAATGCTTCATATGCAATTATTTGATCATAATTTGCTATTATGTATGCAATAAAGTAATAGCTTCAGCAGAGTCCGTCCTCTGATTGAGATAAGACAACTTGCTAGTGGGGAAAGTAAATGAGCATTAGCATAATGAGGCAGGAGGGGGTGGAAAATTACTGAATTTCCGATGGGACAATCTTCAGCCACCATTGCAACTTGCCACCAAATTATAGCAAGAAGTCGACATGTCGGTAGAAGGCTGAAAAGTAGAGAGTTCAGAGTCCTTCCTATCCAAAACTACAGCATTTTGAGCATTATACCTTGCATAACAATACATCTAGATAATTTATACGGCGTGTGCCGACTTTTTCACAAATGCAGACAGCATTAGGTACATACTTTCGCCGCCAGCTTACTGTAAAAATACATTGGTCTCGTCAAAAAAAGCTATTTTAGTCACGGTATGCTTTCCCCCAAGTAAACTAATATCATCAATAAACGAAAAGGTACCCCAGTTTCGGAACACATTTATTCGTAATTCGTAATTAACATTAAAAATTGGCGAGAAGAGCAAGGGTGACTCGCATGAACCCACAAAGTGAGAAATAATTAAATACGAAAGCCTAAAGGGTGTTAATAAAGTCCGATCCCATTTTTCCTATAAAAAAGTGAAGGCTAGTATAAAAAAAACTACCCGTGATACTTACAAAAAATGTTCGACATATTTACCTTAGTATTTGGTCTTGTTACCATTTACTTTAACCATGCCCTCAACTCTTTGTTTAAGGCTCTGTGCTAATTTTTCCAATGTGTCTGTGGGAATCGAATTCCATACATCTTGAACTTTTTTTACTAGCTCTTCCCTCGTCCGGGGTTGTGGTTCTTTGTATACATTTTCCTTAAGTATGGACCACAGGTTCTCCAGGGGATTCAAATCTGGGCTGTTTCCGGGCCACACCCCCTTGCTCCAGACCGTTGAAACTTGCGTCTTGATGAGACTCAAACTCGCTTTTGCTGTATGGGCTGTAGCACCATCCTGCATGAAAACTATTTTTCTTTCATTCGGAAATATTTCCTTGTTCCCCATGCTATCGAAATAGATAGGTAATATTTTTTCCATATAATACTTTGCATTGACTGTTTGGCCTTTTGGTATGATATGTAGAGGAGTCACGCCACGTGCACAAAATCCACCCGCTACCATAACTTTAAGCCCGAATTTTGGGACTACTCTTGATGGTACATCCGATTTGTTTTCTGTCCTGTAACGAACATTTTGTTGGTTCAATTTTGGATATAGCTCAATAATAGATTCGTCAGTCCAAAGGATGTGACTGCGCAATTCTTCACCAAGTCTTTTTTCACTCAAATGGCCACTTTTCTGAAGGAGTTCTCCAAATTTCAGACGGTCATCGATATTTTTTTGTGACATGAGAGGTTTTTTGGTTAGTTTGTAAGCTGTGTGACCCCACCTCGTAGATTTCACAAATTTTTGCACGGTCACATAGTTAATTTGCTTCTTCTTCTCTTTATAGCGTTTTGAGTCATTTAACTCCCTTGCACAATTACGTAATGAACTACCGGTTTTCTTGTAAAGTCTGTTTTTAATCATTCTCTTTGTGGTAGGTGACACCTTTCTGGGTCGCCCGGGTCGCTTTTTGTCGTGGACAAAATTTTTGTTCTTCCATTTCCAAACAGTTCTGCGGCTGCAGCCCAATTTTTGCACAATTTCTGCAGGTTTAAACCCCTGCTGATGCAATGTTTGTATCTTAACTCTAAGATGCTCATGACTTACACGTTTAGTTGTTCCTCCCATGGTAAAAATTTGAAATAAATAACTTCACTGGTTCAAAAGTTCCAGCTGAATTTGTAACAACCGCGCTCCAAAAAATTCATGGGATCGGACTTTATTAACACCCTTTATAAGAATACGCACGACCATTTATCCATCTAACGTAATTTCCAGTTGTAATTTCGCCACCCGTAAATGTTACACCAAAATAAACATAACCTTTACAACAAGTTATGTCACGAAATGAACAAGTCTAAAGTACAAACGAGCTAAGTATACTTCAGTAGCTTCAAGACCAGTGCCGTAACTGTAGAAAGTTGTAAATAATTAGGTGCCTGAAACCTCATTACTGATTAAGCAAAAATAAAACAGGATTACAAAAAAATATACACAAGTTTCATAAAAATCTTACAATAAACTTCTCTTTTTCGTATACACATTTCTCAGAAATAACAAAAATCCTGGTTACGCCATTTGTAACACAAGTCGTGACTCACTCATGGTCAGTGATGATCTTCATCCTTGATGAACTTTATAAAAGATTTAAACATACCCGCATTTTCTTATATATGTGTATATTTATTTCAGGTATATGTATGTGTCTGCAGGTCGTCAAATATTTATGACTTCACTCCAGGACCATTTCTTATTGAAGCCAATAATCCGACCGCATTAATTAATATTCGTGGTAGATTCTAGAAACTGAAGTGTGCCTAGTTTCTTTAAGCTATTCCTATTTCTACCGTCACCATGCAAGCTGCCGGGTCTCTGAGGAAACGGAGGAGGCGAAATCTTGCCAAAGTGTCGGGACTTGGGATCCATGGGTACGAAGAACGTAGCGATTATTTCGATGCGAGCAAACTATTTTCCGGAAGTGATGGTACTACATTCCTGGACGAGGATGAAATCGCCCTTGGATTGGCGAATGATCACGGCAGCAGCAGAGCTACGAGGTATTTAAAAAATTTATACGTTCTAGATAAAAATATCTAACAAGGGAACATACCGAGGTGTCCAACGAGTTAAGGGTCGACACCTATACCAAAATGACCACAATACATGACTTATTAAACAGGTTAGGTTAGGTTAGGTTACCAAATTATAGTTTATTAAGTACCTTACCTTCCAGTTGGAAACCTTTGCCACAATTTTTTTATTTGCATAGATGACGTTGTACGAATTAACAATTTTTTGAAGTACAACGGTGACCATATTCATCAGTTATTGACTCGGATCGATTACAGTTGGCGGACCAATTAGAAAAAAAATATATTAATTACTTATGAGCAGCTGCAAAAAATAACCAACCAAATTTAATTAAAACATTACCTAGTTGATCTCTGCTCCTTCTTTGTCATCCAGGCGAATCTCGGCATCCACGTCCAAATTTTTCTTCAAATAGAAATTAAACCAAATTAACTTGGCCAAAATTAACTAAATTTTAGCTTTTCAATTTTTACCTGTGTCAATAAATCCGTCGTAACTAAGTATTTGCGCACGGTATTAATTTTTTTCATCTTCAAGTTTGAAACACGAAGTAATTATACATTACAACTCCGCTGCTTGTCGGCTGGTTGTTTCTGGTGCATGGAGTAGGGCAAACTCGCCACTCTGTAGGTCACGTGTATTGCGAAGCTACCACCATGGTGCGGTGGTAGTGGCTATCACCACTAATGGTGACAAATATCGGTGATAGGTTTATCACCATTACGGTGACGCTTGCTATTTCCACTCGCGCGGTGATAGCGCCTATCACCCAATTTCTTAGAGTGTAAGTGTGGAGTATGTAACACCCATTATGAGGAAAAATGGACATAAGTACGATGATGCTAGTGGTTAGACTTCAGCCAATGTTAACCCTTTTAAATAATATGCGGCGTATCAACTTCTTTCACAACGTTTTTGCTCGTTATAGAAAATACTCTAAAATTCGAAATCTTGCATATTTATTCTCATTTTAGCGTGGGATCATCATCCTTTTCATCAGGAAGGACACGTCCTACACGGTTTGCATTTCCGCCAACTAATATTGACCTCGAAAGAGGAGAGGGAGGCGCAGATTGGGGTAATTCGACCCCATCCCGGCCACCCACGGGGGAACCTGGTTCTTCAAAATCCTTGCGACCAAATCTTCTTAGTCTTCGAGCGGTACGTATATTTAAATCCTTCAAAATAATTACTCCCCAAAACCAGTAATTCTGAAACTCACTTTTTTAGTTTTGAGCAATAAGTTTTTTACTTAAATATGGGAGTGTTAATAAGTCAAAAAGTGGTTTCGCAGTGGGATTCGAACCCACAACCTCCCATTTTCATTACTGTTGTTTGGACCACTGAGCTATATGGACACTAACATGTAAATATTTATTATTCCCCACAGGTGGCACGCCTCCGCCAAATCTGCATAGTTGGCGCCCTCGTGTGGGCGCTACCCTGGCGCTATGACACAAATACCAGACGCGTCCTCCGTCATAGTCCCGCCGTACACAAAATATGGTCCGCCGTCTGGTTTATTTTCGCCATTCAAAACTCGGTCCTTCTCATCTATCAGTTTTACTCCTTCTTTGCCCGGGTCCAATTAGACAACGGGAGTTACCGCCCGGTTTTTATGAACTCCTTCTGCGTCTTTTGGTACCTCTACTCCATCTCGTTGAACACGTTGATGTTCACGTATCGAGAAAAGTTTCGGAATTATATAAACACTTTGCTGGCCTTTAATGAGGAGTGTGTGGGTAAGTTGAATATGTGACGGGGTACATTGAGATAAAACTAGCGGTGCGTTTTAAGAAAACCAGGGGTACATTGAGATAATGCTAGAGGTGTATTTTGACATAATATTAGAGGTGTATTTTGAGAAAACATAGAGTGAATTGAGATGAATAAGAACAGGGTACATTAAGACAATGCCAAGGGCAGGGTAAGGAAAACCCTGGGGTTTTGCTATTGAAAACCCATACCCCGGGGTTTTACCTGGGTTTTGCGGGTAGTCGGGGTTTTGGGGGTTGAGTCAGTGTCTCATGTATTAAGTTCAGAAATTACTAAAAAATTCAGTTTTTTAGTAATTTCGCAACAAAACTGCTTATTAATTATAATTTAATAAGTAATTAATTTGTAGAATTGCTAGCAATGCCATGTTATCATATTTTGCAAAATTTGAAAACCCCGACTACCGTGGGTATTGCTCAAATTTGCCACCCCAAAACTCACCAAAACCCCCAATACCCCAAAAACCCGGGGTAGCATACCCTGGCCAAGGGTTCCTTGACAGAAGTGATTTATTCACATGGTTTTAAATTGTGTACTAGATCGCTACGTGATACACCTCGACGATTTGGAAGATCATGGCAATGCTGTTTTAAAAGTTTGCATTCCCGCCAACTTTATTCAACTCTTGCTGTCCTGCACTCTCTATTTATTCATGCCGTTTCAACCCTGGTATTTAACGAGTTACGTATACGAGCCAGGCAATCCGCAGTGGTGGCTACTTCTGGGTGCGTTACAAGTATGTAAATATGTACATAAATACTATTTCAAACTGTTCTATCCGCCAATCCGTTAAATTTTAATACAAACCCTAACGCTCAATCAATCCAGGAATGGATCATGGCTGGTCAAACGATTGCAGTATTTTGTCTCCTCGCCTGGATGTCTGTCGCGCATGGAAATAGCGTCGAGTTCTGGTTAATGGAGGCGCAGTAGGTCAAATACCGTTCATAGCAGAACTAATTAACTCAAAGCCAAATTTTCACCCAGAATTTTTATTTGGCAGTCAAAACAACGACACGGGCTACACGACTGGCCACCTTCGCCAGGCTCACAGTGTCATCGAAATGTACAGATCTCTTCAAGTATTGACCGGCCTCCTGAATGAGTGCATTGCTCCCACAGCATTCCCAATTATGAAGGTACCGCTAAATTTTAAACAAAACATGTATCCCTGTAATTTGTATTTTCAAGTGAGCCCTATTTAACAGCTTAAACCTTGCGGCATAGAAATTAGCTAGCATTTCCCACCAAACCTCTCAGAAATTATTTAGTCGCCTTTGAAAATGTAAAACATAGTTTCATTCATACATAACTTAATCTAATTCTTAAATAAGAGCTAACAAATTTTTCGAGAAATCTTATACGAGGCTAAAATCTGCCGGCATAGAAATTTGCTTGGATACGCCACCAAACCTCTCAGAAATTATTTAACCTTCTTTTCGAAATACGAACCATAATTTTGTACATTCACCACATAATTTTTTAACTAAAATTTTCAATTTTTTTAGGTCGTCAACTGGACAGCCCTGATTTCCTGTGGCTACGTCCTAATTCGTTCCATGAATAACAAGTTTATCGAAGAGTTTCCCGCCATTTTGACGTACCCTTTTGGCGTGGTGATCTGCGTCTGCTGCAGTTACGGCATGTTACAAATCTCCGCGGAAATGTTTGACATGGCGACCTCCTTCCTCAACTCGTGGTCGCAGACGAAGCATAAAAATCTGCGCAGAATTATGACCTCCTGCGCCACGCTGCGAATTAACGTGGGCCGCTTCTACTTCGTCACGGTGAACACGACGGTGACCTATTTTCAGAAGACGTTCGACTACATTATTGATTGTATCATTACCTTCCCGTAATTTCCCACCAAATTCATTATACCTGCTCAAGAAAAATGATTTACTCAAAATTCATTCAGTTCAAAAATTCCAAGAGAAGTCATTCATTCATTATTCAATTAAGCAAAAGTTTAAAATAACAAGTTTTCATTAATCATTTTGTATTCATTTTTATTCCAAAATCACCTAATTACTTAATGGAGTTCTTAATGTACCCCATGTATGTACATATTTAGGCATAGCGCAAAACATTTATGCTTAATAAAATTATCCATTTACATAGTCCTCATGAATATGAAATGAATTTATTCAATATCCATTCATTAAAAAATTTTGGAAAAAAATTATCCACTCATTACTCACGAATTCATGGAATAAAATATATATGATGTAATTATTCTATACTGAATAAATGAATGTGAACCGGTATGCATGCATCTCTCGAGAAGGAGAAGGTGAAAGAGACAAAATGAATATAAATCTACAAATGTAAACTTAAAGCTTGATAATTTAAATTAAATTCACACATTAAACATAAATCTTTATTAGACACGTCATGATTACAGTTTACAAAATTTCTTACAATTAGCAATTGCCTACCATTAGTCTGCAATTGGCATTTAATTATTGGAATTTTATAAAAATTCGTTTTCTAAACATATATATGTATGTATTTGCATATGTAGCACTTGGTAAAGTTAACATTTCTTCTGTAATGCATACATTCATACATACTAATAGGAAAATATATAAATGATTACATACTGATGCCCAGTTTATGTATAGTTTATGTATACCAACATTCATGGTTAAGCCTACTGCATATGTAAGTGCAGCCCGAGTTTTGACTCATTTTCTGAGAAACTGTGCTCTTTTTTGTCCATCTTTCTCTCTCACACTTGAAACGAGACACCGGACGCAGTGAGGATACCGCATCTTCCAGAAAATCTCATCACTCGCTCTAAAAACGCAGATGCTGCAGAGTTATTTATAACTGTTCTGTACTCTCCTGTATTTCGGTTCGTATGTAGTCCACGGTTTAACTAACTATACTTTCAGTCATTGATGTATTTTCGGAAGGAATGAAAGTTGATCTTTTCACTCCGAGGAGGGTTAACTTTCTTACATTTACACTGGTAACCATAGCAACCAAGGAAGATGTAGTAAATAAAAGGTTTCCTTGCCTTGTTGGGGGCATTACAATTAGGAAATGAAATTGACTGACTCATATTTTCCGTCATTTCTTATAAAATAATTATTTCCACTGTTTCGAACCATCTAATAATTCCGATATTTCGAAAAATAATTCCTATAATAAGTATAATTCCGAAAAAATGTATTAGAATACTTAAAAATTCCTTCTTGATTATCTCCTTCTCCAGTCGGAAAATTATACCGTTTCGTCAGGAAGATATGTAAATACACGTAAGTTATTAATAACTCTATTCATAAATATTTCTGAAATTCATGGACATTTAAAAGATTAAAAACCGAGCCGTCAATCAGCAATTTAACAGATGGAATTTTACTTTTTCACTTTAATGAAGTTGTTATCCATCCTTAAATTAATATTTCCTCCCTGAATTTTGTAAACAAAAATAGGTAAATTTATCCAGCTCGATTTTCATCTCTGAAAGTCTTTCAGTTTTCACTAAAGATTTCGTGCGTAAAAAGTATTCATTTGCATGTATAAATCTTTCAATGCAAAGACTCGTACAATGAAATTTAAGATTGCTAAATATGAGATGAGATAATATAATTTTATTTTAAAATTTGACATAAATAAATTTGCAATAAATTCTGGCTATAAATTACAGAAAGTAAAATTCGAATTTACAAAACAAAGACCGTCCTCGCCTAATAAATATGTGCAGAAATAATTTAATATTTTTAGGGTAAGCTTTTTAATATTTTATTTATGTATTTATTAGGCGCAATGACTAATAAAATACTTAATATGAAATTTTAAACTTATGAATACAATTTTATTTAAAAATTTGACGTATGTACATACATAAATCTGAAATTAATTCTGGCTCTGCATTATAGAAAATTGTACCCTCACGGAATTAAATAAGCGACCGATCTGAAAATCTACATATGCAAATTACCCATCCGAAATGTACTGGAATCAGTCAATTCATTTGTGGTAATTATTTTTATCTTTTTTTTGAAATGAGATCTGCAACAAGATCAAATTAAATATTTGTCCATAATTTCGATTAAAAATTTAACTTAAATAGATTTGAATAAATTCGAGCTCTGTATTACAGAATGTTCGATGCGAAATTGCAAAATACATACACCGTGTTTCTCGTCCAAAATGTACAGAAATATAAGTTTGAAGTAATTTACGAAATTTACTTATTATTGTGTAAACATTAAAAGGAGAGTACTTGCAGTATTCTATTTTCAATGTTCCCACCGATAAATCTGACCTGGGGTCATAATCTGACTCTAAACTTTGAAATTAATACTTATTATGTACATATTACAGAAAATTCTGGTTGTAAGGAATTAATCCGAACAATACGAAATACCCCGTAAAGTATGTGCTGGAACAATTAAATTAATTGGGGGTAAGTAATTAATTTGACTAATTCTTTCTAAGTAATTACCTAACAGTTCGTTGCAACGTTTGTAAACTATTTTTTATCTTGAGTTAAGTAGATTTTGTAAATGTGTTTATACATACATATTTATTATTGAGGCAATTCACGCACTCCTTCGTAATTACGTAAACAGCGTAAAATCCGTAAACTTACAAACGTTTACAAACTTTTACAAAAATTGCCAAGGAAAATCAGTTTACAAACTTTTGTAAACTTACGCAGCTCACAGACGTCTTTTAATTTTGTAAAGTATTTTGTAAACTCAATTTGGGGAAGAAAAAAATTGTTCGATGCAGAAATTTGGCATAGAGGTTGCTAGTGGCTGCTAATGAAAGAATATGAAGTGAAATTGGCAAAATTTTTCAACCGGAGGTACCCGAGGGGGTGACCCATGCCGATTTTTCAAAATCATCCAATCGAGCTGAAATTTCGTATAGAGGCTGCTAAAGGCCCCGGATGGAAGAATATGAAGTGAAATTGGTAAAATTTTCACATCCGGGACCCGCTGGGGTGACCCATACCGATTTTCATAACTTGTCTCAAAAAGCTGAAATTCAGAACAGTGATACTTAATAGATTCTCATGAAAGAATATGAAGTCAAAGATGAACAAAAAATAACCAGATGGGCAATAATAAGGAAGGGGTACCCATACCGATTTTGAAGAATTTATATATTCAGCTAAGATTTGGTGTGGAGTCGAAAAATAACTTAGGATTAGAATTTTGGAGGGTTGAATTTCGAAATTTTTATAGGAGCTTTATTACATCAATAAATGCAGCTCCACAAATTTCTTCCATTAATTTCCTTTTTCTGGAAATCATCGGCATTTTGTTTCAATTATCAAATAAATTTTTACGAAAATAATTGCGAAAGTGAATTCACGGGAAGCTGTTTGTAAACGTTTGTAAGTTTACGGATTTTACGCTGTTTACGTAGTTACCAAGGATGCGTGAATACCCTCATTATTAGGCTTATTTACATAGTCTGTATTATTATACAATTTTACACCATTTGTTAGGTACATTTTTCATGAATTTTTTTAGTGTAATTATAATGTATGTCTCTCAACATATGCTCACAGATTTTGACCAAACTAGCGTCAATCTATCACAAATTTAATTAGTATGAAATTTGCAAATGGTACTATCTGCCAATTTTCACGTTTCGCGGAGATATTTGCATAAAAAGAGGAGAAAACGCACCCTCAAGGCTTGCAAATTTTCATTTTTCAAATTTGCCCATTTTTCCCTCTTTGGATGCAAATATCTCCGCCAAACCTGCGCATTGACAGATACTTCCATGTACAAAGTTCATACTAATTAAATTTGTGATCAGGGTTCGCTACTCCGGGTTTTTGTGGGTTTGGGTTTTTGGGGTTTTTGTGGGTTTTTGGGGTATCAAATCTCCGGAAAAACCCTAATGCTTAATGGGGTTTTTGCGGGTTTTTGTGGGTTTTTCCGGGGTTTTTGTAAGATTTTGGGACAGATTGAAACAAAATCCCTTAAACTACAACTTAAATCAATGCTAATTAAATTGACGGATTCATCATGAAATTTGGAGAATTTTCATGTGCGACTTGAATTTCCAAGTTTTATTGCATATTTCCAAGTTTGCATGCGAAATATGAATTTTCGATTTAACAGTCCAACTCAATGATAACGCTTAAAATTGCATGTCAAAATCGTATATTAAATTACTTTTTATCTAATATATAATTTAAAGAATTTTGGTTCAACCTGCCCCAAAATCTACAAAAACCCACAAAAACCCAAAAACCCACAAAAACCCCAAAAACCCCGGAAAAACCCGCGGGGTTGGGATTTTCTAGAAAAACCCCGGGGTTTTCCGAACCCTGTTTGTGATAGATTGACGCTAGTTTAGTCAACCTCTGTGAACATATATACGTTGGGAGGCGTCCATTGCTAGTCTCAAAATTTATCGTTTTTAAATACAGATTTATGTAATGATAACCTCAGTCACATCAGGAACTGGTTCACGCAATGGGAAATTACCGAATTCTATCACCATCCTCGGGACTACATATCATTTTTTTGGTAAATATGAAATAGTTCTTGCACAGTTTTTTTTAAAATTTAACAACATGTTCATACTTAGAAGAAATTTCTTACACAATTTTTACCCCCTGCAACCTTAATTTAGATAGCATACACTTTTAGAAAATTGGAAACGAATCATTACTTCCCTTTTTTGATACAGGTGGATTGAACTGCTCGTCCTCATCAGGAACTTACTTACAACCATGGAATAAAACGTCTCCCCCCACCTGTATATTCAACTCCTAATTTGTCTCCCATCCGAACTGCACAACAAGATTTCATCACGACGGGACTCACGCCACCACCGCCAAATTATACAAATCCTCCCGCCGCACCAAGTAACTCCTGCTCTATTATCATTGGCTTACCTAGAAATAATGTCACTTCCTGAGAGTCGCTATCCTTTTAAACTTTAAGATATGTGGATATGTATATCAGGATGTGAAACTATGTACACACAATTTATATACATATCACACTTATGGATACATAGGTTGAAACTATTTGTATGCATATACTTACATAGTCGTTGACGTTGCATTATGTGCTAAATGGCTTGTATTCATTAAAGTACAATTTGGCTAGGGGACTGTCCATGTATTATTTACGTCATCATTCTCGACATGGGAGGATATGGAGAATTTCCTAACATCCCGTGTACGAAACATCCCGTGTAACATCCCGTAACATCCCGGACGAGCCTAAGCCATTAAAGTTATAATTCTGTATATAGATAAATCAGTGATGCTTAGTTTAAAGAAGATATCTTGCTTTTACGCTAAGAGAAATACTTCTTTATTCAATGGGAAATGTTACAATATTCGAGTCAAATGTCAATTTAGAATCGTTGAATTCTAAGTAATAAATGCAGATGAACTTTTGAGCTGCAGTTAACCAATATGCTCGTACAATACTGAAGGAAATGTGCCTTCCCACCGTTATGTATTATGGTAACCTAATAGTAAATATGAGGGAAAACAGTTTCCATTTAAGGATTTAGAACTTTTTTGCATGAGTGGACAAACCACTGAATTATCAGTCGCTACGGTGAAATCTTTGTTATGTAAATATGGCCCTAATTTCCAAAAACATACATAGCTGAGTGCTAGAGATTCTTTCACTCAAAATGAATAATTTGGTTCACGATTTATTCAAAATTCCACTAATATATCGAATTTTAGGTGTCTCAATTTTTTGATGTAATACTCCCGAGATTGCATGATCGCTTGTTTCGATACAGTCTTAAATGACGAAATCCTGACCAAATAGGCAGCGATATGAGAACCAATTTTAATTCCTCAAAACCCTGTTGGCATCAAGGTATCTAAACTACGTTACGGGTTAAATTAATTGTTCATTAAATTTTTCGACTTACATTTTTGAGAAAACGCCGATAAAATTAGCTAACATTCCGACGCAACTAAGGAATTTAATCAAATCTTTCAATGCAAATCTTTCAATCTGGTGATCTAGGTTTGTGCATTCAGTCTTTTCAGGATTAGGTGTGATTTCTCCTCCCCTTTCTAACCTGTATCCTGTTATATGAATGGCAGGGCCTGTAAAATATTGACACCTGACAGGGGCTAAAGCACCGTGAGATTCTCATACAGTCCTAAAAACTGGTTTAAATGCTCCGAAGCTCCGAATCTTTGCTTACCACTGAAATGGTAAAGTACTGACGAGCTGGGTTACCAAGGTCTGGTTCTCGTTTAACCGTTCATCTCATCAACATATGTACTTGTATAGATAATAAGAGCAGATCTATAAGTATGTATATCATGACTTGTTTTAAGTAAAAAGTAAAACTAAATTTTGCAACCTTGCCAAACTTGGCACAATTAAATCTTTATCCACGAATCTAGCCGCGAATCGAAAATTATGATCTGGCTATGTTTTCGGAAGGGAAAATTCCATTTTCTAGCGTTACTTCCAAAGTTTCCGATAACCTCTCGAATTATGGGTTTCGTAGTAAACTTGATCTGAAATACTCTTCTGGATTGCAACTCTTTATTTTATCTTTATTAACTACAACATTGACACATTTCTTATTCTACCTTAGCCTAATTTGTGGCCTAAAACCTGGCACATTCTCACTCTTCACATTTACATATCTCAGTTTGTTCCCTCTCCCATTCTTATTTCCGTCAGACTCTTGATTTGTTTTTACCGTGTTGTACACTCTAAGAAATTTTACCACCAGCGCGGTGGTCATATTTGACTCTACCGGCAGGTCGCAGAAGACCACCGGAGGGTGGATGCCAATCACCAGCTTAGTGATAATCAATCACCGTGCGGTGGTGCAGTTGTCACCGTGCGTTGGTGCAGCTATCACCATTCCGGTAGAGTTACATATGACCACCTCGCGGTGATAGTTATCACCAGGCTTCTTAGAGTGTACATTTCTAAGTTCAGGTTTGGCAAAGCCATTCCGCATCTGCGAACTTTCTATCGAAAACACTCGGAAAAAAAGTTGAAGAGGAATATCGTTTGTAAATTTATGGTACAAATTTCAAACGCATCACTTAATGAAACAAATAATTTGACAACATGAGTATCCCTAATAACCAAATAATACTTCCTCATACCGGTGTTTCGGCTGGGCCAGCCCCATTCACGAATACAGGAAGTTATTAGTTATACTAATGCACGTTTATTCCCATTCATTCTTTTAATGAGCATGTTTTACGTATGGGCTAGGGTGTAACGTGCCAAAATATTTTCGATACTCCTAACGCCGGTACTGCTGTAGGAACTAAAAAAAAATTGGGACAATATGTAACTGCGTACATGGTTCGGAAATTAGTTTAGCTTTGTGAGTCGTATGATTATCCCATCAACTAACTGAGGGTGATCCAAATGCGAAAATAGAAGAAATTTTGCAACATTCTGACTGGTGCAGGACTTATCACTACCAGTGACAACAAATTTGAGCAACTGGTAGATTGCGGCAAAACAGAACTAAATGCTATTTTTATAACGTCAATGCATACAATCGTTTCCGTGGTCGTTGGCTAAATCTTAAGATTGGCTACTGTATTTCGAGAATTAGAAAATTTTAGCTAGTATAAAGTAAAATTGTACGCTTACAATTGTAATGGTAAGTATACTGTTGAAATTTCAGTGTGCGGTGATGCATTGGAGCGAGATAAAATTTGCTTGATAATGTTACAGTAAATCTCCCTTTTAGAGGGAGAGTGGTTAATAATGTTCACTTTGTAACAATGGATTGTCCAATTTTGCTTGAATAACTTATATTTATTCACTTTGTTCACGGAATGGGCTACTTTTTATCTAACTTATCTAAAAGCTACACTCTAAGAAACCTGGTGATAACTATCACCGCGCGGTGGTCATATGTGACTCTACCGGAAAGGTGACAGCTGCAACCACCGAAAGGTGACAACTGCACCACCGCACGGTGATTGATCATCACTAAGCTGGTGATGGGCATCCACCCTCCGGTGGTCTTCTGCCACCTGTCGGTAGAGTCACATATGACCACCGCGCTGGTGACAAAATTTCTTAGAGTGTAGGTTACAAACTAAGCCTTAACTATCCGACTGGTTACTCCGACGCTCTACTTGCTTCCTCTTGTTCTCTCTCACTAAAACTTATCCTAATTTACATACTAGGTTACAAACTAATCCTAACCTAACTTAACTTATCTTCTTTCTTCCTTGGTTCCCGGATGGTGAGAGAGCCCCTACTTTTTCGTCGTCGTCGGGTTTTATTTGGATGATCCTTGGCTTCCAAGCCAAGAGAGTTATTTTGGGGAGAGAGAAATCTCTATCCACGACAATAAATCGATATTTTTTTTCACTCTTTCTTGCTCTTATATTACCTTGTACATAAATCTGTTTTGTGGGCATGTACGCATTCCGTTTTTTCGGACTTTGAAGACAATAACAGACTAGATGATGAGGATCTCGTTCGTGAGGATGAGTATCACTGCTGGTGTAAAGAGGGGAAACACTGAGCAGAAAATGACACAAGAAAAGGATCAAATGTAGAATAAGGGGTAGTATTTAATAAAACTGGTAATTCGTTTGACTGACCTGATTGTAAACTGGAATTTGGCTTACTTAGAGCACCCGGCTTGGGTTGGAAAAACCCTTAAGGGTACGAAACACGTAAATTAGTAGACTACCATGTCTGAGTTGATCAGAACAGGTTGGTACACTGAATGAACTAAATGCTTGGCTTTGGTTTGAGTTCGTAATTCAGGAAGATTAACGGGACGATCGGATTTGAACTTTTTCCTGGAGTGTTGCTCTCTGTCAGATTTCTAGCTAAACTGAAGTCTAGTGGTCGACTGAACAAAATACGGAAATAGTTGGACTTTAAAATCATAGACCTCTATAACTATAAGTTTTATATGTTCCCTTCAAAACTCGATATGTGCACCATCCCTACTGCCTTGGGGTTATAGACTGGAAAAACTTTGTTCTTACTTGATGATCTGGTATTTTGAATTGATGTGTGCCAGAATCGTTACCACTGTGGAATTTTATTCGAAATACAATTAATTTGGACCGGGCTAGTTAATCCGCCCCCTTGTGTTGAAATTTTGCAAAAGTGCATTCTCCAAGGCACGAAAAGAAGAAGTTCTAATTGTAATATAGAACACTATCAAGTTGAACAAAATATTTCTGATTCTCAGCACGATAGGTGCACTCACAATGGAACCTTTTTTCAAGCTACACCAGGATTATTTAACGAGTTATATCAAAAAATCAAGCCAAAAATTAGGAATCATATGGCGCTTATCATTCCGTTGAATGGCCCTGTAAAGAAAAATATTGGCGGCAAAGTTCAATTTTTTAAGTTTTCTCCTTTTTCACCACGAGGCGAAACCCACGGCGCTCGTGGGTACTTTGACCCCCAATATTTTTCTTCAAAGGAGTCATTCAACTGAACGATCGGCGCCATATGAGTGCTGATTTTTGGCTTGATTTTTTGACATAACTCGTTAGTCAATCCTGGTGTAGCTTGAAAAAAGGTTCCATTGTCAGTTTGTGTGTATACTGCTGTAGATGGGGAAAAATTTTTTGCACAATTTGCGTAAGATTTAGTTTCGAGTCATTCTCATCTGGATAAAACTAATGAGCCCTAAATTACGTATCAGGTTCAGATTTATAGCAAGGCAAAATTGTTTTCAATTGTTGGTAATATTGTGTAGTTAACACCGTTTAAGTTGCATGTAAGAATTTTGAAGTTGAAAGAGAGCAATTTTATTTTGATTTAATTGTTGCAATTTGATTTGACCGAATTAAAAGCTGGTCGTAGGGGTGGTATAAGGATTTTTCCACCCCCTCAACCCCGCTGGAAACACTGCTCCAATTTGGCACCAAGAAAATTAGGAAATTTTCAAAAAATAAAACTATCCACTTCTCGAAACATTTTATTGTGTACGATGGTATAACCCATTTTCATTTTGGTAAATAAATTTTGGTTGTTAGCCGGCTTTGGTATTTATGCATCTTCGGAGGAACGGAGTCCACATTTAATTGAAGCTGGAGAAGTATGGTTCAAAATTTCGAGAAGTAACTTATGGGCGATAGATAATAGATTTATCATAATTTGTGTCCATTAGCAAGAAATATTTAAAAATTTTGCAAATTTGTAAATTTTGCGGAATTAATTCTACCCACTAAATCCATTCACAAATATACCCAGGTTGTTAGTGAGAACTTCAGCTGGGTAAATGGCGGAATTGTAATTTTTCGAATGTTTGAACACAGACAGAATGTCGGGAATTACATATAACGGACGTGTCCAGAAATAATAAATTACCGAGATGGGTCACTGCCCCTCCACGATGCCCGTCCAACAAGGCCTTTTGCAACCATTTGAGCTATAACATTTCAGCTGGGTATATGACGGAGTTTTTTTTCAAAT